ATTTCTTTCAGCGCGTTTTAGACAATGTTGCAATAGAAGGAAATGTGTAATTATGTATTTTCTTCTGTACAGCTGTTTGTTCTTCTTGTCTTAAAAAACATGCGAAGAAGTTCGAGGAAAACCAAGGATGGATAGAACTAGAAAATCAAGAAAAAGATAAGATGACAGCAGCTTGTCTTAACGACCAATCACGGTGAGATGTGCTTCACTTGAATAAAACCTCCCACCTCTGAATAATTGGAACAGTAATTTCACTTAAATTAAACAAGCAAGTTACGTTTTTTATAGGATAGACATAAATGTATGTACATTTGGTTTCTTAGGCTTGCTAAAAAAGTCGCTGAAATGACCATGAGCAACGTCAAACACTGGGAAGGCACCCCAGTTGCACCAACGACTATGCCTGTACCAGCTGAATGGACTCCAGGACAATGGACGGGCGAAGAAGAAGATTCTGAAGAAGAATTCCGCCCAGGTGGGGAAGAGAACAATTCGTTGATGTTCCAATACAATGAAGCATTATCTCGTTTGTCGGAGAAAGTTAAAGTTGGAAATTTCACCCCTTTGACATTTCAATTAAATACAACGTGGGCGGAAGCAACACAGGAGGAAAAGGAAATCTGCATTGATAAAGCAATGGAAGGATGCAAGATCGTATGCGAAGTAATAGCACCAAAGGCTGGAGATGAACTTTTGCAATCGTGTGTGCAGTTACCCAAGCAAGAGACTGAAAATGTTTCAGATGAGCTGATTACCCTTATGCAAGCGCACAAAAATGCTCCAACCAGAAATTTAAAAACACAAATTTTGAGTCTTTATGCTTACCAGTATTCCGCGAAAAAACTGAAAAAGCTACATGAACCGTACGAACGCATAACTGATTGGCAAGTCAAGAGAGCACGAGCTCACGCCCGTGAATGTGGACCAGGTTTTGCCGTTGAGAAGTCCACATCTCATCGTGTACGACTGAATAAAGTTCAAGTAGACCACTTTATTGATTTCATCAACAGACCTTACTTTTACCAAGATGTGGCATACGGAACTAGAACATTAAAGATGGATAGTGGTGCAAAGTTAAAGATGCCTAATGTAATCCGCACTGTAACTCGCTCAACCATGATTAACCAGTATTTGATGTTCTGCAAAGAAGAGAATGTAGAGCCACTGAGTCGCGCGACGTTGTTTCGGATCCTCCAAGTAAGAGAAGCCTCCCAGCAAAAGTCGTTGTGTGGTGTCGACAATACAGCAGCGGATGGTTCAGCTGGTTTTGAGAAACTTTGTAAAATTGTGGATGATCTACAGGAACTAGGGCAAGATGATAATTGGTCAAAAGCTATAAAGAAGTCTCTCCTAGATGGCAAACGTTATTTAAAAACGCAATACCGTAATCATTGCCAAGAATCCGAGAGCCCTTGTCCTGATCATTGCTTGAAGTTCGGGCTTAGTGATCCCAAAAATGCAGACTTGAAGGAAACCTGCGCACATGAACATACAACACGTTGTAACCAATGTGATAACATTTCTACATGCATCAACAAAATAGAGCGAGCTATCAAACATGAAGGCCTCACGTTTTACAGTAAGGAGCAACAGGAAGACATCGTTTATGATTTTGAGCAAGCTGTAAAAGCTATCAAACAATGGAAAGCACATGTCATGCGGACAACAAATCAAGAACGCGCTAAACAGGATGTCCTTGCAAAGCTTGACTCCAGTTCACGGTTGGTCGTCATGGATTGGGCGATAAAGTTTCTACAGTTGCGCTATCGTGAAAAGCAAAGCGATTGGTACGGAAAAAGAGGACTTAGCTGGCATGTTAGTAGCGTTGTATCACGGGATGAGTTAACTAAGAAATTGCAAGTCACCACATACGCGCACTTATTCGACCAATGTACGCAAGATTGGTTCGCGGTGGCGTCAATTATTGAGCACCTGCTAACGCATTTGAAAGCTAAACACCCCTCGCTTGAAAGTGTCTATTTTCGATCTGATGAGGCAGGGTGTTATCACAATAACTTGTTGGTTGCTGCAGTTAGAGATATTGGAGAGAGATTTGGAATAACTGTTAAAAACTATGATTTTTCCGAGCCCCAAAGTGGAAAGGATATATGCGACAGGATTCTTTGCCCGCTAAATGCGTCCATTCGCGAGCACTGTTCTGAGGGTCATGATATTTTGACAGCATCAGACATGAAAGAAGCTTTGAAGCAACATCCTGTAAGTGGGACGTCGGCCTCAGTAAACGTCGTTGACAAGTCAAGGGAAAGTCTCGAAGTGAACAAACTTGACAATTTCGGTACGTTCCATAATTTCCATTTTGAAAGTTCTGGAATTCGGGCATGGAAAGCTTACGGTATTGGTCCAGGAAAGCTTTTTCCGTATAAAGCGCTGTATGTGAAGCATCAGGGTCCAACTATGTTTCAAACGGAGGGTAATGATGCAGCGCATTGGTTTTACTCGGTCAAAGAAAGAGATTTGAATCCAGAACGAAAGAAACAACCAACCGCGAGCGAATCACTTTTCGAGTGTTCTGTGTCAGGATGTACCCAAGCTTTTGCATTATTCTCCGAGCTAGAGTCGCATCTTAATGTTGGCCAACATACGGGAACCCAAGCTACAAGTGAAAGCTTTTATGATAAAGTGAGAAAAGATTGGGCAGGAAAATTTGCTTCAGTTGATGTAGCGTCTCAAACAAAGTGTTATGCAACTTTGACCTCAGCCACGTCCAGATCTCTGGCAACGTCTTCATCTACAGTCATCAACGATACACCCCATTTCGACTACTGTTGTGAAGTTTGGAATTCCATTAGTAGAGGCCAGTCTGAACGACTACAAAAACTTCACAACAGATGTGCTAGAATTATAATGAACTTTAAAGATGAGCCTGGGCAATCTCAACTGGCCCTCGATCAATTAGGGTGGATAAGCTTGGAAGAAAGGCGAAAACATAATATGGCCCGTCTCATGTTTAAGGTTGTCAATAATCTGGCACCATCGAGGTTCTCATCAATGTTCCAGAATTCTAACCATATCCACAGTTATAATTTACGAGGTTCAAATTCGTCTCTCTTTCTGCCACGACCAAATACCGAGTATGGCAGAAAATGTTTTTGATATAGTGGGGTTAAAATCTGGAATAGCATTCCTGAACAAGTAAGAAACAGCGAATCTTTAAATTCTTTCAATAGAGATATTTCCTCTGTTAGTCTGACGAATTAGCTATTTGAGTTTTGTATACCATTTGTTTTGTAATATGTATTTGTATTCGTAGTTCTTAATTTTCTTAGTGATTTTGTATTTTATATATTTTTGTAACATTTATCTACGCCCCACTTGGAAAGCAGCTATGGTTGAAGTGGCCAGCGTAGTCAAATAAAATTTTATCCTATCCTATCCTACCTCTGACCATGGGATGGGCAATCAACAAGACCACGAGCTCCACTCGATTTCCGCAAAAGGTAAAGGATTATCTGACAGCAAGATTTTTAATTGGCGAAAAAACTGGCTGTAAAGCTGATCCAAACCAGGTTGAGAAGGATATGAGAACATCTAGAAATCCATCGAATGAACGCAAGTTTAATTGCAAAGAATGGCTAACGAAGACACAGATAAAGGGCTTCTTCTCGCGCTTGGCAGCTACTCGTCGCAAAGAAAACGGTTTGGTAGGCATGTCATTGGAATGTGAAGAAGATGTAGAGTGCCTGGTGAAGGATTCCGAACCACAAGAATTAATCGAGAGCATCACTCATGAACTTGGCTTGAAGCACCCTATTACGTTCGACACGTATGATCTATGTGAATATTATCACAGAAAAAAGCTCTCCGATTTCAATGTTCCAATGCTTAAAAACATTCTTTGTCACCTTGAAATTAACTTTAAGTCGAAGGACAAGAAGCAAATTCTCGTAGACAAACTCAAAAACGTTATCGGAGAGTGCGAATGTGATGTCATGCACTACGAATGATCTGTTAACTTGCATACATGAATCAATAGATCATAACAATTTACTTTTCGAATCATACTGCCACAAACAAGTGGAAACTCTTCTCAGTTTGTTGATCAAGAATTTACTCACAAATTTCTCGGAAGTGAAAGTGAAAAAAAAAACGCGAGTTATTAGGAAACCTACGAAATTCATCACAGCTAAATATCTTAGGTCTTCTATTAAAGCTCTAGCTATGGGATTTTATTGCAATGTTTCCAATAATTCTTTTTTTCTCATTTGCAGATTCACCCGGTGACTGGGAACCAGGGCCGTGCCACCTGGGGGGCCTCCCCCCTACCTATTATTTTACGACTTTTTGGACCTCCCCCCTACCTACTATTTTACGACAAAATTCTTTGGTTTCTGGAAAAAAAAATTTTGAGGGGGCCCCCAAATGGGAGGGGGACCAAATTTTTTATTTCACCACCCCCCCAACCCAAAACCACTTGACACGACCGTGCTGGGAACGAATCGCAAAAGTAAACAAAACATTATTAACTTTACTTCCGCTTTCCATATTCCAAGCCGTTTGATGCAAATATGTTGTAATTGATACGTGTTTAGGACATGGTTTAGGACTTTAGATAAATTTATTGTGGTTACCTGATATCTTTGGCTTCATTTTCCGTCAGAATCAAGCAAGCAAGCTCGTTGTGACCAACAAAATACATGCGAGTTCTACCGCGTTCGATGGATACAGTATTTTACTGCATAATTTTATGAGCTTCGTTGAATAGTTATTTACAAACTTCACGCCAGTGGATAAAATTTCAGTTTATGTGACATTATCTTGGATTTAAAATGTCACACGAAGATCAGAACTCTCAACTTATGGGCCGTTATGGCTAGGTAAGAGATTTAGTGATCAAATTACATAGTACTTTGCGACGGCCATACTCTGTCGGTTGGCACTGCATTTTGAAAATTTTGTGATTTGTAGGCGACTGTTATTTTCCCTAACGTCGCATGCAGAAAAATGTGATTCTTGTTTTGAGTTACACGTTATTTATTGTTTCCATTTATATAATTCAGGTGTTTCAGATAGGTGCCACACTTTTAAAATTCGCTCTTGAAGTAGTCATATTTTTGCGATTTGTCGAAAAGCAGTTTACATGTTGTAAGTTTATAGCTGGTTCAGAAGAATTCTCAGGCTCATTTTGAACAATAATACGTCCAGATATTCAGCTATGCCAGATCTATAAACTGTACAAAAACTAAGGTTTTAAATTGAAATCCGCTTGTTTTACAGCTACGAGAAAATCAGTCATATTTCCGATTTTCAACTGTGATAATTGAATTTGCCTACTCCTATCTTAGTATCTATCCTGAAAATGTCAAAATCGACTTACGAATGAAATGCAACTCGTTTTCGTAATAGTTATGGCTAAAGTAAAAAAAACTGAGCTTATAAGAAAAATCTAATTTTGCATTGAAATTCAGTGGGTGGTTTTTACAGAGACAGACTCTTAAGAGCTACTCTAACAGGACTTTGTATATGTTGTTTCAGGAGATAAATATCAAATGTATCCGTAGACGCATTTTTATGCGGTTGTAATAGATCACAATTCAAATCTCCTGTAGTAATTAATTCTTTATTCTCAATATCAACGCGTTTAAGGAATTCTTCAAAGAGATTGAATATTTCGATTTTAGAATTGGGTAGTCTCCATCAAGAGGGGCCTGTACCGGGTTCGAAAATCCCGCCATCCGGATCGATTTTCACTTCAAATCCCGTTATGCCGCCATGCCTCATCTCAATTTCCCGCTCTCAACTTTTTTTCTAACACTGTTCAACGTATTATGATTTAAAGAACATGGTAACAACATAAAATACAATTTGAATATACTAGAATACAATACAACAAAGTTTAAAATAATAAATGACTCTAAATCGCGACTCTTATGAAAGCAGCAATCATACATGTAAATGGGGATTGATGGGGGACAAATGTTCGATATCACCAGATGATCTTGATACGCGGAAAAGTACTGGCACTAGTTGTCAAATAGAAATCCATTTTATGATTAAAACAACTGAATATCTCCTGTAATATACTTTATATCGATTCCATATTTTTATCAGAGCTATAGTTCTCATAAGCAAACATAATTACAAAATTTCAACTAGTTTCATAAAGAATAACGAAAGATATAATTGACTGAATACATCAAAATGGATTTCTATTCGGACAACCCTTTCTGAGCGGTGATTGGCTAAAATACGAACACGAGATCACCTAGCATCCTTAAAACAGTAAATTTCGAGCAGACAAACAAAATAACAACCGATCAGCTAATGTACGGCTACAAGTTTTGTTGATTTATCCCGCTAATCGTGGATTACTTTCCCGCATTTGCCATGGTATTTTTATTAATCCCACTTCCCGCGATGGAATAAAATCCCGCTTCCCGCCAATATTTCTCTTAGACTCCCGAATTCCACTTGAATTTTAGGTGCATCCCGCCATCCTGCAAAACCGGTACAGGCCCCTCCACCAAGAGGAAACTAACACCGGCTTGCTCTTAGGTTTGTTGATTTTAACACAGATTTGTTCAAGTGACCCAGACTAAGTCATTCCGATTAGTAAATGTTATACAACTTCGGATGTACATTGCAACACCCCCGCCGTTTCTGTTTCTGTCACGTCTAACAATATCATGCCTGAGACTTTGATCTGGATCAGAATTTGCAATTGGTATGCTATCATCAAGTCGAGTTTCATTTAGTGTCAAAATATCAAAAGGTTTGTCATGCATATAGATTAATAGGTCATCAAAATGTTTTATCAAACTACCAATATTTAAATGGGCAATTCTGAACCTCCTAAGTTTAAGCAAAAGAAAGGCGGTGTTTGGTAACGGGGTTTTTCTGTGAACGTTATTGCCATTTTCATACTCTATTGTGCGACTATTAGGACCTGTGACACAGTCCTCCATCCCATATTATAGAAGTCTTGTCTATAAAGTGTTGGATCCTTTTGGGGATTTTTTTGGGGAATTTCCAAAAAGTGCTTTGAATCCCATCTACAATGTGGTGCATAGTCACTTTAAAGACCATGTAAAGTCCGTTTTGCGCATACGTTTTGCGCAAGCCTACATTCCAATGGTCGGGACTCGACCATTGGTCAATGTAATTAAATTGTGAAATATTTAATAATATACACGGCAATACATACCAACACATCTCCTTCCAATCAATTTGTATCCTTTCTTACATACACATGTGTAAGAACCTAAGGTGTTGTTGCAAGATCCAGAGACTGCAGGGCCGCATGGTGATGACAAACATTCATCGATATCTAAACCAAACAATATTTTGTAGAAGTGTATCATTATATTTGGAATTCAATTTTTGATGAACCTGTGGACAAGAAAAATTATTTTAACCAAGAAATATTTCCAGAAATTGAGGCGCCCGTTTGGCGTACGCCTCAAGGCGTAGTCCAGCTGAGCTATACGAGCATTTTTAACATGAGCCTATGGGTCGGGAGATAGAGTAATCACTCCCTATGTATTGACTTTAAATAAATACTATTACTACTACTACTATAAACCTACTGTTCTGTTTTTCTTTTTATTTTCTTCCACGACAAAATATTATTACATGAATCTGGTATGCTGAATTATATCATTCTATTAAAAAATTTATGCATCGGTTATACTTCTAATTTCCATACTTGTCATCATTTGTTACTGATGAATGACCTTCAATATTTTACCTATTTGATAGTATATTTTCTTGGCATAAACAGTTGATTTGTGCACCATCTACCCTGATTATCGCATATCAATTATGGTATAAAAAAGCTTTCAAAACTGTGCAAGTGTGTATTGCCAACATATGTGCATCTACAATGTTCTTGCATGCCCGCTAAAGTTTATTATGAGTTATCAAGAAGAAGTTGAACCCGACATGTTTTAACAAGAACATCATAAAACTGAATATATCATCTTTGTGAATTTATGGCCGGAATCAGTTTCTGCAAGTTGAATATATATAAGCCTTTTTTTCAACTGACATACTATAACTCTAACCTCGATAATTAGTCAACTATGTATAATATATATTTGTGATGTTTATAGAAAAAATATATTCATTTAAACATCAGTCTCTCTCTTAATATGTTTACAAGCTACTGAGTATTGATTGAACTCCTTGACAACAATGCAATATTCACCATGAGCAGATACATGTACGCTTAGCGTACCTATTTTTTACTTTATAGGTGTAAATGTATTGTGGAATTAACCATCACTACTTGGGTGAACTTTCTTTGTGTTGAGGTCAGGATATCAACAAAACATTTACTCGCATTGCATTGCATTGCATTGCATTGCATTGCATTGCATTGCATTGCATTGCATTGCATTGCATTGCATTGCATTGCATTGCATTGCATTGCATTGCATTGCATTGCATTGCAGAGGTGGTGTCTTCCCAGAATATCTATTGCAGCATAAAAAGTTGCCCCATGGCCATACCAGCACAACTCCTTCGCCCCCACATATTCCAAATGTGGAAGGATGTAGGCTTTGTACAATTTCGTTGCAACTTGCAACTTCAATGGGGATCAAACGCCTTATTCCTCGTAAGACCGCCACTTTCGAATAAACCTTCTTGAGCATTTCTTTTATATGGGATTCACAAGTTAAACGGTTGTCTAGATGAACTCCTAAAATTTTGACGACCGTTGCCATTTGAATGGAGGTATCAGCAACTTTTATATCGTAATCGAAATCAGATTCTCCCATTATCATAGCCTGTGTCTTACCAGCATTCAAAGTAAGAAAATTATTGTGAAACCACAGGTCGAGTGTTTATATATCCGTGTTGATCGAAAGCTACAGTCTTGCGGGACATTGATCGGAATAATAAGTACTTGTATCACCCGCATATAAACGAAGGGAGGAACTGGTTACCAATGAGTTTATATTATTCAAGAAAATGCTGAACAACAAAGGCCCAAGTAAACTACCTTGAAGAACACCACAATGGACAGGAAGCCAATCCGAAAATGAATCATTGCACTTCATCCTTTGTATACGGCCATGCAGGTAGGAACGAATCAAGTCTACGGCTGATTTGTCTAAACCATATGACTTTAATTTGGCGAATAGCAAGTTGTGTCAGAAAGAATTAAATGCTTTAGAAAGATCAATGGCCACCACAGCAACATCCTTTTTATCATCCAGAGCAGATCTCCAATCTTCTGTTAACTTTAAAAGAGCAGTACAACAAGAGTGACCATGGAGGAAACTTGACATGTTCTGAGAAAATCGTGGAAAAGGGTGGATACAATTGGCTTTCTGCCAGCTAAGCATGACGGTGGGAGTCTGTAGGTTGCTTTCGAACGAAATGGCGGCTGCGAGAGCCAACGATTTTGCTTTGAAAATACAATATCCATCTAGCTTGTATCCATCGATAATTTTTATCTACAGAAAAACAACCAGGCAACTTTTAACTATATGCAGGTGTGATTTCATGAAGTTCTGTGAAATAATGGCGAAGAAAATGCGTTGAGAAAGAGGCGAGATATGAACACACTTCGCAGAGAATTTCTTGAAAAAAACTAGTCTTAGGAACAAAAACAGGTCAATTCGAGCTTTAACTAACGATCGGATTAATTTTTTTGAAAATTAAATATTACTGATAGGTGTTGTACTGGAATTCTAATTTATTTCTATCCTATGAACACATAAGTGCCACTTTAATCTTTGTGAAATTGACAATTTGTGTCATGTTTTTGTTCGAATTCAGTCAGAGAACTCGCGTCTCTTTGAACAAATTGCTAAGCCTAAATATAGTCAATGTGAATTAATTGCCTCTGATTATAGGAAGAAAATTTAATAGTCGATATATTCCCTGGATTTCAGTTGTGTATTCTAATATTTAAAATGATTTTTAAAGTATTTTGGTTCGGAGGTGTTTGTTTAAACCATACAGTT